CCTTCTTTGGGCATTCTGCAGTGTAGTGGTCAAAGCTGAACAAAGAACTGTTCCTTCTAAGGCCCGTGCTTGTGGATTCAAACATTGAGACCACATATACGGCAGAGGAATTTAACAGGCAATCAGACTTCCTATCTATCTAGATCCACTAGCATCTGGGTGTCATGGCGCATTCCTGTAGTCTCAGCTACTTTGGAGGCTGAGATGTGAGGTTGCTTGAGCCCAGAAGGTCAAGGCTACAGTGTAGTCATGATTGCATCACTGCACTCCAGCCTGGGCAACAGAACAAGACCTTGTCTCAAAATATATATATATATATATATTTTGAAAGCAAGCAATTGAGCGCCATTCACTACATTCTGGGTTTTGTGCAACCACCATCTCTATCTAGTTGCAAAACATTTCCATCACTCCTCAATAAAACCACTTACACATTAGAGCAGCAGTTTATCCTCATCCTCCACCCCCATGCCCCAGTCCCTGCAACTTGCTATCCTACATTTTATGTATTGTGAACATTTCATGTAAATGAGATTGCATGTAAATGACATTGCATGTAAATGAGATTGCATGTAAATGAAGAAGCCCAGGCACTGAGCTTCAATAAAGGCTTCCTTGGGGTCGGATTCTACTAATTGATTATTCTTTTCTTTGCTATACTTTCTTGTTTCATTGCATGTCTCATAATTTTTGTTACAACTAAATATTTTGAATATGATATAGTGTGGCGACTCTGGAAATCGAATTTTCTCTCCTCCTTGGGGCTTCTGGTTGCTGCTTATTGTAATCTGTAGTTGTTTACTTGCCTAATGAGTCTTCTAATTGTATAAAGATTGCGTATTTGTCCAGTGTGTGGTTGCTGAAGTCTCTAGGCTGTTAGCTTCATGGCCAGATAGTGATTTGATAGAGATTTCCTTAAACGGTGGAGCCAAAAACCAAAATCTCCCAACCTTTGCAGTTTGGCTCTGCGTGTGCTTTGAGACATGCCTTTAACACTCAGCTGCACATTTTTCAACTCCCGCCTTTGCCTTAACTTCTTACTTGCACAGAGCTTGAATATCAGCTAGAGGTGAGAGATCAGGGCCTTCTTGATGTTTACTGAGCATGCAATCCAGGGTAGGACATGTATGTATCCTGCATTCCCAGGAATCCTTCTGATATAGAGGTTAAAAAGAAGTATTTAGGCCGGGCGCGGTGGTTCACGCCTGTAATCCCAGCACTTTGGGAGGCCGAGGCAGGTGGATCACGAGGTCAGGAAATCGAGACCATCCTGGCTAACAGGGTGAAACCCTGTCTCTACTAAAAATATAAAAAATTAGCTGGGCTTCGTGGCACGTGCCTGTAGTCCCAGCTACTCAGGAGGTTGAGGCAGGAGAATCACTTGAACCCCGGAAGGCAGAGGTTGCAGTGAGCCAAGATCGCGCCACTGCACTCCAGCCTGGGCGACACAGTGAGACTCTGTCTTTAAAAAAAAAAAAAAAAAAAAAATTATTTAGGCGGATAGTGAGGGTAAGGAAGTCCTTGGTAAGGTTTCCCTTTTAATAAAAAGCAGCCCCCAAATAATTTCTTTTCTAACAAAAAGCAACCTGTAAAAATCAAGCTGCAGATATAGGTGAGCAAGCTGGAATCCTGCAGGGTGGTGAATGCGGGCAGCTGTGACAAACAGGAAAAGGCTCCCTGGGAGCCCGGCATGTTCAACATGGCGGCTCCCTCTTCCCTTTTCCTTGCAAACCACGTGTACAGTAAGGAGCAGACAACACGGCAGGGCCCCCCCGCCCCGCAAAGACCTCATTTGCATAAATATAAGATTAGGATGGAGCAGCCAGCTTCCTCCGGACTATGTAAACATCACACTTGGTCCAATCGATCTTTTTTTTTTTTTGGAGACAGAGTCTCGCTCTATCACCCAGGCTGGAGTGCAGTGGGGCAGTGGGTGTGATCTCGGCTCACTGCAACCTCCAGCTGCCAGGTTCAAGTGATTCTCGTGCCTCAGGCTCCCAAGTAGCTGGGATTACAGGTACACACCACCACGCCCAGCTAATTTTTGTATTTTTAGTAGAGACGGGGTTTCGCCATGTTGGACAGGCTGGTCTTGAACTCCTGACCTCAAGGGATCCACCAGCCTCAGCCTCCCAAAGTGCTGAGATTACAGGCGTGAGCCACATCGCCTGGCCCCAAACAATCTTTGGGCCCTATTTAAATCAAAAACTGCCTCCTCAAGCCAGTCTATAAAATCCAGTGCACTTTGCTGCCAGCGGGAAGTTCCACTCAGGCACATTCTCCTTTCTCTTTCTTTTGCCTATTAAATCTCTGCTTCTAAACCCACTTTTTGTGTGTCTGCATACTCAATTTCCTTGGCATTAGATGAGGAACCTTGGGTATTTACCCCAGACAATAACACAGTTTCACTTCTACATTCCTAGGAATACGTGATAAATTTTCAAAGTCATATGTCCCAAACATCTCACTCCCCAGCCTTTCTTCCAAGACGGGTCAGCATGTCCATCGTTTACCACTACTCATATGCTTTTCCCTAGACACTTGTGGATAGTTCATTTGTCTTTAAATGTTTTCAACAATCTCCTTTGAGAGAGGTTTCAAGGTAGGTAAAGGTAAGCTCTTTGTGTTATTCCTTCAGGAGTCCATTGGACTTATTATTATTATTTTTATTATTATCTGGAGACAGAGTTTCACTCTTGTCACCCAGGCTGGAGTTCAGTGGTGCAATCTCGGCTCACTGCAACCTCCGCCTCCCAGGTTCAAGCGATTCTCCTGCCTCAGCCTCCCCAGTAGCTGGGATTACAGGCGTGTGCCACCACGCCCAGCTCATTTTTGTATTATTAGTAGAGACAGGGTTTCACCATGTCACTCAGGCTGGTCTTGAACTCCTGACATCAGGTGATCCACCCACCTTGGCCTCCCAAAGTGCTGGGATTACAGGCGTGAGCCACCATGCCTGGCCCATTGGACATATTAAAACAGAACATTGCCACACATTTCTGCTGTCTTCAGCACCAGGAACTGGTGGGACTGTGGGATTGTCATATTCAGCACTGCCACTGAGCCAGGAAGGATGGTGGGAAAATGATAAATTAAATTGCCACAAACCTGTCCAACCCGGTTTCAGTCACCTTTTTAAAAAAGTAAGGATTCGCTTTGTTGCTCTAAACCTTTGACTGTTTTCCAGATTCCTGACTGATATGGTTTGGCTCTGTGTCCCCACCCAAATCTCATCTCGAATTATAATCCCCAAGTGTTGAGGGAGGGGCCTGGTGGGAGGTGATTGGATCACAGGGGCAGTTTCTAACGGCTCAGCACCATCCCCCTTGTGCTGTCTTGTGATGGGATTCTCATGAAATCTGGTTGTTTAAAAGTGTGGTGCTACCGCCTTAGCTCTCTCTCTCTCTCTCTCTCTCTCTGCTGCCATGTGAAAAAGGATGCTTGCTTCCTCTTCCCCTTCCACCATAATTGTAAGTTTCCTGAGGCCTCCCACGTCATACAGAACTGTGAATCAACTAAACCACTTTCTTCATAAATTACTGAGTCTCGGATAGTTCTTTACAGCAGTGTGAGAATGGACTAATACACTGATCAAGTTGATGATGACAGCTGCCCCAGTATTATCAATGTTTCTGCGAAGTATTGGTACTTTGGAGTTCTCTACCTAAAATTCAAAATATATCCTAAAATAGCATTAATGTAATATGCAGTACCTATAAAATTTTTAACCATATTTCACCAAAATATTTTTTAAAGCATAATGTCTGACTGGCTTTCCAGTGACAGAACAGAAACTCACAAAACAAACATGTAAAACAATGTGACATATGATCACATAAACAAAGCAAATTATTGTAAACACGTCAGATGTTTGCACTGAAAAAATGAAACATTGGCTTTATAAACAAAGGGATGGAATAGCTGTGACCAATGTGTGAAAAGTATCAACTCCATGCAGGTAGCAGGGGAAAAAAACATAGTTACTGAGCTCCTATTTTGCATTCATATTAAGTAATGAGGAATGAGGGAAGACATGGAGGAGAACAAGAGTGAGAAAAGCTGAGAACTAGAAGCTGTAAGTGTCCAAGACCATTGCTACTCAAATATTAATGAAGCCGCTACGTTGTCTGGAGTGTATACCCTGGGGTTCATTGGCATGCGCTAGGAAAATTTAGAACACGAATACACACGAGGAGTTCAGAGGCGGAGGTTTAATAGGGGGAAGAGAAGAGAAAGAGAAACACCTCTCTCCTGGGAGGAAAGGACAGGCTGGTGCTGAATTCGCAGTTTAATACTCCCGTTTGAGGAGGCAGTGTCTGATTTACATCGGGCTCACAGATTGGTTCGATCAGGTATGACATTTGCATAGTGCTGGGGGAAGGCTGGTGGCCCCACCCTAATCTTACTTTGCGATTGGACTTTCTAGTTGATCTGCGCCATCTTGTCTGCTTCTGGCTGACAAAGAGAAGGGAAGATGGAGCTGCCATCTTGAAAACGTCTAGTCCTTAGTTCCTGCTGGCATTCGCCCGTGCAAGGGCCCCGCTCGTTTGTGTATGTCTGCAGCTCCGCTTTACAGGCTGTTCTTTGTTAGAAAATGATGTGGTGCTGCGTTTCATTAAAAAGAAAAGCCTCACTGAGGACTCCCATACCCTTACTATCTGTCTGCCCAAGTGATTGCGTCTTAACTCCTCTCTCACTAATATGCATGCGAAATCCTTGGTGATACTGTTAAAACATAGATTCTCAATCCGTAGGTCTGATCAGGGATTATGCATTCAAAGAAACTCTTGGGTAATGTTGATCTTGTTGGTTCATGAACCACACTTTGAGAAGCCAGGCTATGGAGGGTACAAGTGTTACGGAACTAATACTACATTTCTAGATCGTGATAGTAACAAAGAAAAGGATGGAAGAATTTCAAATCCCCCAGATGAAGACAGCAAGAAAAAGGCAATCTCTTGTTAATTGATTCCTTCACTTAAAATTAAATGTAACCAAATTTTCATGTTGCCAGTGACTGTTGCTTTTTCCTCTCTTGTGACAGTTATTTCATCCCCATGGAAACAGGAAATCAGACACATGCCCCAGAATTTCTCCTCCTGGGATTTTCAGCAGCGTCACAGATTCAGTTCATTCTCTTTGGCCTGTTCCTCTCCGTGTACCTGGTCACTTTCACCTGGAACCTGCTTATCATCCTGGCCATCAGCTCAGACTCCCACCTCCACACCCCCATGTACTTCTTCCTCTCCAACCTGTCCTTTGCTGACCTCTGTTTTACCTCCACAACCATCCCAAAGATGCTACTGAATATAGTGACACAGAACAAATTCATAACATATGCAGGCTGTCTCAGTCAGATTTTTTTTTTCATTTCATTTGGATGCCTAGACAATTTACTCTTGACCGTGATGGCCTATGACCGGTTTGTGGCCATCTCTCATCCCCTGCACTACACGGTCATCATGAGCCCCCGGCTCTGTGGACTGCTGGTTCTGGGATCCTGGTGCATCAGTGTCATGGGTTCCCTGCTCGAGACTTTGACGGTTTTGAGGCTGTCCTTCTGCACCAAAATGGAAATTCCACACTTTTTTTGTGATCTTCCTGAAGTCCTGAAGCTTGCCTGTTCTGACACCTTCATCAATAATGTAGTGATATACTTTGCAACTGGCATTCTGGCTGTGATTCCCTTTACTGGAATACTTTTCTCTTACTATAAAATTGTTTTCTCTATACTGAGGATTTCCTCAGCTGGGGGAAAGTACAAAGCCTTTTCCACCTGTGGTTCCCACCTCTTAGTGGTCAGCTTGTTCTATGGCACCGGCCTTGGGGTCTATCTCAGTTCTGCAGCTGTGCCGTCTTCTAGGACAAGTCTGGTGGCCTCAGTGATGTACACCATGGTCACCCCCATGCTGAACCCCTTCATCTATAGTCTGAGGAATACGGACATGAAGGGGGCCCTGGGGAGACTCCTCAGTAGGGCAACATTTTATAATGATGACATCATTGCAGGACTTTCATAAGTAGCAAGGCTTAGACCATTGGGAGGCATGTTTTTGGTGGTTCTTGAATGTACCTAACATCAACGTATTCTCTTTTAGTTCTGGAATTACCATATCTTATCGTGTCTTTGATACAGGAACTAGAAATAAATTATTTAGGTTGATAGATCCTTGGCAAGATTTCCCCATTAACAAAAAGCAGCCCTCAAAATCATTTCTAACAAAGAACGCCTGAAAAATCGAGCTGCAGACATAGATGAGCAAGCTGGAAGCTCACATGAGTGAATGCCGGCAGCTGCGCCAATAGAAAAGGGCTAGCTGGGGGCCAGGCATGTTCAACATGGAGGCTTCCTCTTCCTTTTCTTTGTCAACCACGTGTACAGTAAAGGAGCAGGCAACATGGAGCTGGCCAGGTAGAGAACCCATCTGTATAATAAAAGATTAGGGTGGAGCAGCCAGCTTCTCCACATGCTATGCAAATGGTACACCTGATCCAACCAATCTTTTATGGCCTATGTAAATCAGACACCGCCTCCTCAAGCTAGTGTATAAAACCCTATAAATTTCACCATGAAACTGGCAACCTATTTTTCTCTGGGACCCCAGAGGGCTCTTCTCTTTCTCTCACCTATTAAATTTCCACTCTTAACCTCACTCTGGTGTGTCAGCATCCTAGTTTTCCCCAGCTGTGAGACAACGAACCTCAGGTGTTACCCCAGACAACTATGCTGCTTCATCTTGATTTTGACCATTTTTGAAGACAGTGTATTAACTTTTTAGGGCATGTGTAACAATGTGCCACAAACTGAGTGAGTTAAACAATAGCAATTGATTGTCTCACATTTCTGTAGACTATGACGCCTGAAATCGAGGTGTTGGCAGGGCTGGTTCCTCTTGAAGGCTGTGAGAAAGTATCTGTTCCGTGCCTTACCCCTAGCTTCTGCTGGTTGCTGGCAGTCTTTGGCTTTCCTTGACAATATAGAAGCATCACCCCAATCTCTGCTTTCATCTTCATGTGACGTTCTCCCTCTAGGTGTGTTTGTGTCCAGTTTTCCCCTTCTTATATGGATAACATTCAGATTAGAGGCCAACTCTACTCCACTATGGACCTTGTCTTAGCTTAACTAATTACATTCACCACAGCCCTATTTCTAACTGAGGGCTTTAATGTAACGTATGATCACATAAGCAATGCCAACTATTGTGAACATCTCAGATATTTGCAATGGAAAAATTAAACATTGGCTTCACAAAGGTCAGAATAGCCGCGACCACATTCTGAAGTTTTGGCGGTAAGGACTTCAACATATGAATTTGTAGAGAATGAAAATTCAACCCATAAAAGACAGTTTGATCAAGACTAGCTTTAAATGCAAAGAATGACCAGCATTCCAAATTGCCCATTTTTCTGTTTTTTTTTTTTTTTTTGCAAATAAAATTTTATTGGCATATAGCCACACCCACTTGTGTACATATTATCTGTGGCTGCTTTCATATTACAAGAGCAGATATGAGTAATTGTCACAGAAATCATCTGACTTGGAAAACGTATCTAAAATATGTACTCTCTGGCCTTTTTCACTGTGAAAGTTTGCTGACCCCTGAATTAAAACATTGCTCTTACTTCATCTTATCTAAGTTCGATTTTTTTTTTGAGACAGAGTCTCGCTCTGTCACCCAGGCTGGAGTGCAGTGGCGCGATCTCAGCTCACTGCAAGCTCCGCCTCCTGGATTCACACCATTCTCCCAACTCAACCTCCTGAGTAACTGGGACTACAGGCATGCACCACCACACCCAGCTAATTTTGTTTTTGTATTTTTAGTAGAGACAGGGTTTCACCATGTTAGCCAGGATGGTCTCGATCTCCTGACCTCGTGATCTTCCCACTTCGACCTTCCAAAGTGCTGGGATTACAGGCGTGAGCCACCATGCCCTGCCTAAGTTAGATTTTTTTTTTAAGCATCTCAGCACACCATTAAAATTTCCTAATGAGCATGAAATTATTTGCAAAGCTCCATTCTTATTACTGTGTAAATAGAAGGGTTTTGTTCTATACACAGAATGCTAATTCAAACCATAAGAGATCCTTTCCTAGTAATCTAAATATTCATTCTCATGATGGGTGGGCCCTTCGTTTTTTAAAATATTCATATCCCCTCTGCATAGCAAAATCTCTGACATAGAAGGAAAGTGTGATAAATTCTTGTTGAATAGGTAAACCTAAACTAGTATATGCACATCCTGAATAAGTAAGTAGAATTAACAAAGCTGTGAAGCTAGAAAAACTTTTAGCTACTCTGTAGTTAAGCTTCACAGAGATTTTGAGTAGCACCCTTATGTGAAGGCTGTGCTGTAAGTTTACGTCATTATTCACCATCACGCACATGTTAAAGCTAATCCAGTGCCATCATCTTCTAGGGGAGTGATGTAGAACAGGAAACACTGAATGAATGGGCAACTTCTCATGTAACCCACTCAATTAGTCCTTCCATTGGTCCTTCAAATGGTCCTTCCATTTCTTTATTTTATTTTATTTTATCTTATTTTATTTGAGATGGAGTCTCACTCTGTCGCCCAGGCTGGAGTGCAGTGGCGCAATCTTGGCTCACTGCAACCTCCACCTCCCGGGTTCAAGCGATTCTCCTGCCTCAGCCTCCTGAGTAACTGGGACTACGGGCACGTGCCATCACGCCCAGCTGATTTTTGTATTTTTAGTAGAGATGGAGTTTCACCACGTTGGCCAGGATGGTTTTTTTTTTTTTTTTTTTTTGAGACGGGGTCTTGCTCTGTCGCCTAGGCTGGAGTGCAGTGGCACGATCTCCGCTCACTGCAAGCTCCGACGCCTCCCAGGTTAACGCCATTCTCCTGCCTCAGCCTCCCTAGAAGCTGGGACTACAGGCGCCAGCCACCACGCCTAGCTAATTTTTTTGTATTTTCAGTAGAGATGGGGTTTCACTGTGTTCGCCAGGATGGTCTCGATCTCCTGACCTCGTCATCCACCCGCCTCGGCCTCCCAAAGTGCTGGGATTACAGGCGTGAGCCACCGCGCCCGGCCTGGATGGTCTTGATTGCTTGACCTCATGATCTGCCTGCCTCAGCCTCCCAAAGTGCTGGGATTACAGGTATGAGCCACTGCACCCAGTCCGGTCCTTCCATTTCTAATTGAGAAGAGTGACAGGGAAACTGCGTTTGCAAAAATTATCACTGAGAACATTATGATGGCGAAAGAGATCTGACCTAACTAACTCCACCTTGCCTCTAACCTTGCTCATTCCTGGGCTTAGGCAAAACTAACTTTGGGAAAAACTTAGTTTATAGTTTAACTTTGAAACAAAGACGGTAACAGCCCTTCCCCAAAACCAACTCCCTTCCTGCTAGAAGACTAGACGGCCTTCGTAGGACTAACAAATTAGCCACAAGATCAGAAACTGTGGTTTAAAAGTCACACAGTCGGCTGGGCGCGGTGGCTCATGCCTGTAACCCCAGCACTTTGAGAGACCGAGGCGAGTGGATCACGAGGTCAGGAGATTGAGAACTTCCTGGCTAACACAATGAAACCCCGTCTCTACTAAAAATACAAAAAAATTAGATGGGCGTGGTGGCTGCATCTCAGGTTCAAGCAGTTCTCTTGATCAGCCCCTCAAATAGCTGGGATTACAGGTGCCCACCACCACGCCTGGCTAATTTTTTTGTATTTTTAGTAGAGACCGGGTTTCACCATATTGGCCAGGCTGGTCTCGCATCAGGTGATCCGCCCCCCTCAGCCTCCCAAAGTGCTGGGATTACAGGCATGAGCCACCGCACTCAGTCTTGTGTACAAATATTTGTGTAGACATATGTTTCCATTTCTCTTGAATATATACCTTGGAGTAGAATTACTGGGTTGTATGGTAATGCTATGTTTAACACATTGAAGAACTGCCAAAATGTTTTTCATAGTGACTGCACCATTTTCATCTCTACCAACAGTGTAGGAGTGTTCCAATTTTCCCATGTTCTCATCAAAACTTGTTAGTGCTTGTCTTTTTATTATGATTATTATTTTAGCCATTACAAAAGATGTGGAGTGGTAACTCAGTGTGGTTTTAATCTGCATTTCCCTAATGACTTATGATAAGACTCTTTACAAGTGTATATTGACCATTTGCGTATCTTCTGTGGGGAAATATCTATTCAAATTATTTGCCCATTTTTAATTGGGTTATTTGTCTTTTATTGTTAAGTTGTAAAAGTTCTACGTATGTTCTGGATATAAGTCTCTTGCCAGATGATTTTGATGCATAAACATTTTTAATTTTGATGGAGTTCTATTTATCTAATTTTGTATTTTATTACTTGTGCTTTGGATGCCATATCTAAAAATCCACTGCCTAAACCAAAGTCAAAATGATTTACTTCTGGTTTGTTTTTTTTTTTCCTACAAGTTTTACAGTTTTTGCTCTTACATTTAGGCCTATGATCCACGTAGAGTTGATTTTTTAATGCAGTGTGAGGTAGGGGCTTAACTTCATTCTTTTGCATGCTGAAATACAGTTGTCCTAGAAACATTTCTTAAATAGACCATTCTTTCTCCCCAATGAATTGTCTTCACATCCTTGTTGAAAATTATTGACCATAAATGTAAGAGTTTATTTCTGTACTCTTGATTCTATTTCATTGGGCTATATGTCTAATCCTTATGCCCATACCACACTGTCTTGATTACTGTAGCTTTGTAGTAAGTTTTAAAATCAGGAAATGTGAGTCTTCAAGTTATTTCTTCTTTTTCAACATTCATTGACTATTGTGAATCCTCTACCATTCCACATAAATTTTAGGGTCATCCTGTCAATTTATGCAAAAAAGGTAACTGGGTTTGTAGTAGGGATTATGTTAAATTCATTAAGTTGGGGAGTACTTCTGTCTTATCAATACTACGCCTCCCAATTCATGAACATGGGATGTCTTTTCATTTCTTTAGATCTTTAACTTCTTCCAACAATGTTTCATAATTTTCAATGTACAAGTCTTGCACTTCTTTGTATAGTAGTATTTGTACATCT